GGGAAGGGAGTGTGGGATTGCCTTTCACTCTCTTTCTGCCATCGATGTGGGTCGCATTTTGCCAGATGAGTGAAAGGCAGCCAGGGGCTGGATTCTTATCGCGGCGTGAATGTTCGTCTGTCTGTCTGATTATCTGATTGTCTGCCACGAGTGGATGGATGGGTGGAGTGTGTATCCTTTGCGTGGCTGGTTTATCGATCGGTCGGCCACTCACAGCCCTCTGGGGGGGGGGGCAAGTTTTTTGTGCCGGCCAGCGGATTGGAATTTGTGTGTGCCCTGCTGTCGTGTCTTCCCTCTGTCTGCCTGTCTGAGTGTCTCTGTGTGTATGTGCGTACCGCAGTGCTGGCTGATACACATCCAAACGTACACACATGAGGGAGGGCTGAAGGTGACCACACATGAGGGCGGTGTGTCCATCTCTTGTCGTCCGGCCATCTGCTGCCCGACTGACAAATGTTTGTGGCTCACATTAATATGCATACAAATGTATGTGTGTTTATCGGTCTGCGTGTGTGGTAATCGTACGCGTACGTCTGTGTACTCGTCTCTCTCTCTGCGTGTGTGCGTATTCGTTGCCTTCCCGGGTGTGACACGATTGACCATGAGACTGACCCGAGGAGGCAATCCGTATGTCAGCTGACTGAACAGTGACACCGTCCATGTGTATGCGTGTGGATGGGTGGATGAGGCGGCCTGGGGAGATGAGTTTATCAGTTTATTCGCTGCACGCTGATGGACAACATGGCCGGCTGGGGAACCAGAAAGACCGGACCGACGACGGTTTACTTGCAACCAATGTCCGGTCACAGTCTGACTGTGTTTTGAGTGACACTGGACGGACCATGTTATGGTCTTTAAGGACTGCCTTTATGGTGATTGCCAGAGGATTCTGTTTGTGGGCCAACGACTGTATGATGGTGTCTCTCTCCCGTGCACAGTCGTCGCCAGCCATTCGAGTATGTGTGTATGTGTATCCGGGTGAGTCACATACTATCCAGTCGGCCCCTCCACCTCCCCCTCTCCCCCTCCCTGTCCCTGTCTGTCTGTCTCCCCGCTCCGCCCTCTCCCATCTCCATACATACAATCACCCCCGCAACCACGCAATGCAATGCAATGCAGTGCATCCCATCCCTCCCTCCGTCCATCAGTTGCCATGGGCCATACAACATACCCCCCGTCCTGTCGTCACTCCTGCGAGCACTGCACTGCAGGAGGTTACAGCTGCAGGAGGGCCCTGATGCGGCACTTGGTCTGCTTGCCCCCCCTTGTCGACCTCCCGCCGTAGCCGCTGCCCTCCGACGCATTCTGGATCGCCCCACCGCCCCGCTGCTTGATGAGCTGAGCGCCCTCTGCCCTGCTGCTCGCCGTCGCTGGGCCACGGCTGCTGTGCCCCTCGACGAAACATGGCTGCATGTCTTCGAAGCCGGGAGGTGGCTGTGTCAGCTGCAGCCGGTGGACAAGCACAGGGGTGGAGGGCCCAGACGCCTGCAGAGAGCAGCGACACGAGCAAAAGCGCAACAAATCAAGGCCTTCATGAATGCAGACCAACAACTTGTGGAGGCAGACAGAGAGTTGTACATACCAGTGAGGATGGGGGCGATGCGGTAGACGTCAGAGAATGATGCTCAATCAAGTGTTGGCTCCTGGCCGCAGCGCCGCTGGTGGTTCGGGTGCTGGGGTCGCTGCCGCCCCCGGGGACACACGCAGTGCGAATGTCCCTCAGGACTGGCACCAGATCCAAGCCCAGCGACAAGACCTCACGCACACGCGAATCATCCCCATCATCACCACCAGAGCCCCCGTGTCCCTCTCCCTCCCCCTCTTCCTGCCCCTCTCCCTGCCCCATCTGTCGCCACTCCATGTCTCCGCCCACATTGGTCAGCGACTGGGAGGGAGGAACGGCAAAGTAGGACTCCCACCCGTCGAACCGCCACGGAGCTGCCGGGGGGTTGACCAGGGGGGCGTCCGTGAGGGCCTCCCATGTGACGGAAGAGGAAGACCGGTACTGCTCCAGTGCCTTCCACTCCTCATCAAGGGTCAAACCAGACGGAGTGCTGGACGTCAAGCCGTCAATGATATCGTCCCCCCGGGGCCCCCGGCTGTCAGCCCCTCCTTTCTGCCGCGCCCGCGTGAAGGTCATGGCACGTGGCGAGTCGGCAGCTGGCTGGGACGCGACGGCATTGTCAGCCGCGTCGCTACTGGCAGCTGCTGATATCTCGTGGATGAGCTGCAGCAGGCTCTCGCTGGCGTGGTCACGCTGGCCACCACTGGCGTCACCGCTCCCATGGTGCGGCGCTTCTGTCTGGGGTTGTTTGCTGGGTGGCTTCTGTGGGGCTGCGTGGGCGTCTCGGCGAGTGGTGGGTGAAGGAAGATACGGAGGCGGGCTGCCCACGATGCGCCTCGCCGCTTCGAGGATGGATTTGTCGGCCTGAGAGGGATGGTGGGGGCACTTCCATCGGGCGAGCAACGTGCGAACCTGACGACCAAAGGGCAGAGGCGAAGGCACACACATACAGATGAAGGAGGGTGTGGTGAGGGGCGTTTGGTTGCTCGCCTCTGCAGGTGTGAATGAGTTGGCGATGGCTGTGATGGTCTCCCTATGCATAATCCTGCCGCCGCGCCACAACTCCTGCAGCCCCGCAACACAGTCCTCAACACCATTGCAGCTGCACACAACACATATGCGGACAGGGAGGGACACAGAGAGCCAGACTTCGCGGATGTCCCATGTGGGTGCCAAGCATTGCATTGCAATCATTGCAGCAGGGATCATGACTTGTCTCTCTCGTTGCCAGCTCACTTGTGGACGCTGGCAAGGCTGCCGGGTAGGGGTGAGTGGGCGGCGCACATCCGACGCGAGTACTCCTGGGCTGCGGCGAGGAGCGATACTTCCTGGCTCTCCTGTGGCCCCTGCTGCTTCTGCTGCTTCTGCTGTTGCTGCTGCTGTCGGTGCTCCTGCCACTCCTTGAGAAAGCCCTCGATGTGCGCGGGGTACCGCAACAACTTGACTACCTGGAGAGAAAGAGAGAGAGACGGCATGGCATCAACGGACGCACATGGCTGGGTGGGATGGATGGATTCACTTCGTATTGGGGGGCTGCAGGAGTGCAAGTGCATTGCGTGCATGTGTAGGGTTGTGCGTGTTTGCTCACCTCTGCCGCCTTTCCCTGAGGCAGCCTCATGTCCCGCTCTACCTTACGCAGCTCCATGCCCACCTCACGGGGCAACCAACACGGACTGCACACACACACATGAACAACATGTTCACTTGTCTCCCCTCTCCCCCAATCGTCCCTCCCTCTCCTCACAGGATGCTGTTCCCATTAGCGACGGTAAGTACGGCGGCCTCGAAGCTCATGGCGAGCTCCCCGGGTTGCCTGGCCTGCCGGTCCACGATGCCCCGCTCCCACCCGTCGGCCGTGTCATGATGGGGGCTGAGGGAAGCTGACGCCGGCCAGTTGTCGAGCAGATACTCCAACTTAGCCGGGCTGAGCTGGAAGGCGTGCCGGGCATACTGGTCAGGCACCAGCCACTTGATAATGGTGCTCTCCAGCTGACGGGCCAGGTCGGCGGAGAACCTGCAGTGAGTGAGGCGCATCGGAAGAGGAACACGGAACAAAGAGATGGATGATGGACGGCGCCGTAAGTGTTGTGTTATGTTGTGTGCAGTGCATTCGGCTGACTTTCTGGTGGATTCGGCGAAGGTATTGTGCCACTTGGCTGCCTCCTTTTTGGCCGATGTCTGGAGGTAGTCCTGAAACGAGCGATACGCCGGGCCCCGATGTATCCTGCAATGCAATGTGTAAGGGGGAAACAGGAAGACCATTGGCAACACGATGCACATGAGAGCGACATGAAATCCCCCCCGCGCTCCTCTACTTACTCGTGGCTGCCGAGAGGCCAGTTCCTCAGCGCATGGAGCTGCTCCTCAGTGGAGAGGTTCTTGAAAAAGAAGGGGGGCATCCGCATGGCCTTGAAGTGCCGCTGGTGGCGCAGAGAAACACCGTCAGAACACCGCCATGACCCATTTGGATTGGAGTTATCATCAACAGTGTGCCTACCGAGCGCATCCACTCCTCCAACGTCATTGCAGGCCTCACCGCAGGGCCGTCCGCGCCGCCCGCGCTCGCCATGGTCCCGACCTCCGATGCGTTGCTGAGCTTCTTCATTCCGCTTCATGCACATGGATGCATATCGATGATCATAGAGCGACAGCTAGGCGTGGCCGCGTCGACGCAAGTTATCTTCAACTTCTCCTTTTCACAGAATCTGATGGGGTGGGGGCCTGGTTGAGCAGAGGACGAGACGACCTTTTTTGGGGTTAAGGGAGGGACCGATCAGATTGTCTTTGAGACAGCCCCACGTACTGTGAACCGGCCCACGGCGGAATGAATCATGGCCTGGATGAATGAATCTGGCCAGCAATAACGGACGGCTGGACTGACATCATGACGCAGGAACGACTTTGGATACGGCCTCGCTACCACTTCCGCCCTCCCCTACAGCCCGAAGTCCAACCTTACGCACTCATCAAGGACGCACCACCACTCATAGGCCACTGTCTGCACTTGACCATTGCTCCATAAGCATAATATTCCAGTGTCTGTGAGTGCACCTCCCCAAGTCCGGCCGGTCACGGCTGCCTTGCGGCCTTGTCGGGTGACTTGGGTTTGTCTTGGGCCTTGCTGCGCGACTCCCATCTGCTCCAGTTATAAAGGACGCGGTCGCGGGGCTTGCGCAGGAAGGCCTCAAGCACCGACCAGAAACGCTCCTGGAACAGCCATTCACCAACACATCCATCCATCCATCCATCCATCAAGGCAGCCACAGATGCCGTGCTGTGGCTGGGATTTCTTGCTGCTCCTGCCTACTTCGCTGCCTCACCTTGACAAACATGGTCTCGTGCTTGCTGGTCGCGCGAAGATTCAGCACCTGTTTGGTATGAGAGGAGTCAGGTGCTTCAGGCCACCATTGTCCTGCTGTTGTGTTGTGTGCACGTCGGTTACCTCGACGTTCCACTGAGATATCGGCGGTGGGAGCTTCTCAGACTCGTGCTTCATGTAGAACCCCCTGCACACGTGCAGACACGCCCAAGCAACGAATCGGTACGTGCATCTACTTGTGCGTCCGTCGGTCACCCACCCCCCCCACCCTCATACCTGTAAAGGGTGAAGACGTGTGCTGCATCTGAGGCCTTGACGGGGTAGGGAATGAACTGCCATGTCTTGGGCCCCACGAACACGGCCGTGACGTACCGCCACTCCAGTGGCGTGAGGTTGTTGAGGTTCTGGCTGTTGGGCAGCACGTAAAAGAACAACTCCTGGCCGTCAAACGTCCGACGGATCGTCCACGTCAGCCGCTCACGAGCCTCTTTATCCGTGAGGTCGTACCACTTGGCCGCCTCTGCACCCACACCCACACCACACACAAACCACACACAAACCAGTCACTCGGTGGAGGGAAAGACTCGCAGCTCGCTTCTCGTGGCTCACTGTTGACGTCTTGCGGGTCGATGCGTTCCGCCATGGTGCGCACGACTTCCTCGGCCTTGTCCTCGGGCATGTAGACGCCATCCTTGAGCAGCACAAGCAGCGTCGCCCGAGCCATCAGAGGCTGCTGGTTCTTCAACCCAGTGGGCGGCGTGACGATCAGCGGCTGCTTCTTGTCGCGAGCCGCCCGACGCACCAGCTCCTGCAGCAGCGTCTCCTGAACCGCCAGGGATGACGCTGGCTGGGGGGCACTGCCAGACGACACATCGTTGGCCGACGATGACGCTGCAATGCGGTCAAAGGACACAACAGTGAGGGACCATGACAAACGGATCCATGCCCCCTTCGTCCATCCCTGTTCTGGCTCACTTTTCTGCCTCTTGGCGTCCACTGAGTTCTCATCGTTGGCCCCGTTGTCGACCGGCCTCTTGCCACCTGGAGCCCCCGCACCCTCTGCTTCCCTCCTGCCGTCCTCCCTCCCCATGTCGGCCGCGTCCTCCCTGGCCACGTCATTGTTGACGGCGTCGGCCGGCCTCGCCGCAGCTGCGGCCTTGAGGCCGATCTTGTCCCTCTGGCGTATTCTGTCGTACTTGTCCTTCAGGTCGTAGCGCGTCTCGACCGTGAGCATGGTGTTGCGCGAGAGGATGGAGCGCTCCTTGCTGAGGATGTCCTCGACTGCCACCGTGCCGTCGGGCAAGACGCCGCCGTCCTCGGCGTCATCCTCGTCGGCGAAGGACGGCCGTAGCGAGGGCGGCACTCCGGGCAGCTCCTTGGGCGCAATACCGTGTCTGAGCCTCATGCGGCGCATGGCGCCCTGACGCAGTGCCGGTAGGGCGGGCAGACGGAGGGTGTTTGGGTCGTGAGGTGGTGCGGCATGCTGGTCCATGGGCTGTGGCTGCACGGCCCTGTCGACGGCTTCGAGGTTGCCGCCCTCCTCGGAGCCATTGAACCAGTCGAGAATGCGGTCAAGCTGGCGGCACCTGTCCTCTGCAGGGAAGCATGAGCTGTGGATCCGCTGGTACTCGACCGAGGAGAGGGAGTCCCTGTCGGCCTTGAGGTAGATGGCCAGCACACCCAGCTTGATGATGCCGTTGTTGCGGTCCAGGAAGCCGCTGGGCACGTCGGCGGGCACCTGCCGGCCTTGTGAGGGGAACTGGACCGTGTGGGTCGACTGGTCATATTGGAACGGCTGGTCCCTCTCCCAGCACTCCTTCAGCAGCCACAGCGGGTCCACCCGATCACATCCCACATCCATCGCACCGACGAACGGACGGATCTCACTGATATCCTCCCCTGCACAGCACTGCACGTCTTGGTGATGGCACTGCACCGCAATGCATTCAATGCCATCATCCACACAGCACACGACACCACGGGAGCAATGAGGAGAGGGAAAAGAGGATGCCTCGATAGTCTGTCACCTCAGCTCACCCTTTGATTCGAAGATGAGAGATGCTGTGGATGCGCTTTCTCCCCTTTCGCTTGAGGCGAGCTCATCCCCCATCGCTGACATCTAAGCTCGCAGACGCCAAGTACTGAAGAGCGGAGAAACCAGAGAGCGGAGGAAAGGCCGCTGGGGCAAGATGCTGATGTGACATCAACTGGATTCGGTCAAGTGGCAGAGCCGTCTTTCTGCAAGGTGGGCGAGTGAGGCAAGGAGATGTTTTGCCGAATGATTGCTGCTCCCCCCCTCTCTGTCTGTCCATGTGCCGACTGTCTGTCTGTCTGTCTGTCTGTCTCTGTGCGTGTCCACCAGTCGCCAACACTGACAGAGACCCCTGCTTGTCGGCATCCGCATCTCTTGTGTGCACAGGTACGGAGAGCAAACACCACTCAGCCAGGGTGAGGCGACCCGCACGACTCTGTCTGACTGTCTGTCTGTCTGTGATGTGACTGTGATGTGCTTGTGCAGACTGATTATCTATCGCAGCTGGCTGCAGTCCATCGGTTGATTTGATTTGATTTGATTGATGTTGCCGCCATTGGGACATTGGCAAGGGGAAGCCAACGAGTCGTTTTGTCCCGCCGGTTGAGCGCTCGAGGCCTGCAGGGAGGGAGGCACCATGAACGTGGCTCTGAGCTGCCTGCCCATCAAGCGCTTCTACAAGTACCTGCTGAAGCGCGTGTTGGGGACCTTTCTGCGTCACGACCTGGAGCTGGACCAACTGGATGTGCACCTCTACGACGGGCGCATCGAGCTCCGGGCGCTCGAACTGGATGTGTTTTCCTTCAACGAGTCGCTGAGCGACGGCAACGCCCCCGTGCGGCTGATCGCTGCCAGGGTGGGCAAGCTGCACATGGAGATTCCGTGGGCCAACATCCTCCAGGACCCCTGCAAGATTTATCTAGAGGACGTCTATGTGGTGCTCGTGCCCTGCCACACCAACTCAGACGCAGCTGATGCGCACGGCAAGAGGGACCCGCTGAAGCCTCGTTCCGCTGCTCGGTCTCCCACGTGCCATCCCCCGCTGCTCGTCCCACAAGCGGCGGCGAATGGCGGTGCGGGGAATAATTTGGCCGCCAACACCAACACGAGCCCCCCCTCTTCGCGGCGTTATGTGTATGAGGGCATGGAGGCTCTGTCGCGTCTGATCCAGCAGATCATCGCCAACACTGAGGTCTGTTTCAAGAACGTCGATGTGGTCGTCCAGATGCCATCCCACACCACCCAGACCCACCACCACCAGCACCACCAGGTGCCCTCATCGGCCCCCGCCAGCCACCAGGCGTCATCGAGCGAGGGCGTGGAGACCCCCACCCCTCCCTCTCTGCCCACGGCCACCACCAACACGCCGGCGGCGTCGCCCCGGGACAGCAGGGACGACCGAGGGTGTCTGGTGCTGCATGTGGCCACCATGTTTGCCTATTCGGAGGCGCAGCAATCCCGGTGCCTTCGCATATGGGGTGTGACGGTGGGCATGGTCCCGGCAGCCTCAGGCTGCTCCCTCTCCCCGTCTACCATCAAGAACCGCCAGGGCGTCACCACGCTCCTCTCGGCTTGCGACGGGGACGCGCCATCGGGCATGCTCAAAGTCAAGACCTGCCAGCGCGACGCCAGTGGTGGTGCTGAGGAGGGCGAGAGCAAAGCGGGCGGGTCAACAACTGTCGATATGGACGTGTATGTCCCCGTTGTCAAGGCGATCGTGAGCTACGGCTCGCTGGGGCACCTTGTGCGCATTATCGACGCCCTCACCAGTGGAGAGCCACGGCCGTATGGGGGCGGAGAGCGGCATCCCCAGCGGCAGCACCAGCATGAGGGCGCGGTTGGTATGAGCAGGCCCGGTGTGGGTGTGGGTGTGGGTGTGGGGGAGGAGGACGTGTCGGCCAGCCAGGTGACCTCCTGCATTTTTCACTCCCTGCTCGAGCCTGCAGAAGGTGCGCAGAGCCATGGAACAACAGACAGACAGACAGACAGATCGACTGACGGGTGGATGGACGTATTGCATTTTCCTGTCTCTTGTCCTGTCTTGTGTTGTCTCTCTTGTCGTGGGTTCTGTGTGGCAGTGCTGGGTGGTCCCTCCTCCCGTCCGCCCCCCACGCATCAGACCCGCGTGTGGAGCCAGCTCTACAGGTACTTCGAGGTCGACGCCACTCTCGAGGACCAAGCCGCATCCACCAACTACCAACACCATCACCAACACCAACACCCGGCCCCGCACGAGTTCCCCGACGAGCAGCCACTTCACCGCGCAGACGCGTCAGAGGCCTCTCCTGGCCATGGGGAGAGGGATGAGACTGCGTCGTCGCTTCTGTCTCCGCCGATCGAGTGGCGCGTGACTCTCGAGGTGCCCGGCGTGATGCTGGTGCTGGCTCTTCAGGACCAGGCGGACATCCACCCCACGCCCATGGCGCTTTCCCCTTTGCCACCTGACAAACTTACCGCCAGCTGTCTGCAGGCCTGTGTCGACCGCGTCCATGTCGCCGTCGCGCACCAGCACCACCAGCCCGGGACGGATGTCGATGCTCATGCCGTTGATGCCGGTGATGCTCATGCCGGTGAGCAGCTGGAGGTCTCGGTGACGTGCTCGCTCAAGGGCTGTGAGGTGCACGCCCACATGCTGCAGCAGCTGCCCTTGCCGTTGCCTCTCCCTGGTGGTCTTGCCACTGGACAACCCCAGCAGCAGGAGGCGGTACCTGAGCTGGAGGAGGAGCCTCGCAGGCCCGGCGAGAGGCCCTCGGATGCTTGCGTGACGGCTTTCTCAGGCTCTGACAGCGTCGTCACGGTCACCACGCCGGCCAACATGGAGCAGAACGACCTCAACTCGATGATGATGCAATCGGCCCAGTCCATCACCGCATCGGACACCCAGCCCCCCCTCCACCCCTCATTGGCCACTGACGCCGCTGTGGCTGTTGCGGCTCCGCGGGAGGCGGCGTTTGAGGACACGCCCTTGTCGGTGGAGTCGTGTTCGCTGCACACGCCTTTGACGCCCGTGACGCCCTTCACGTCCCTTACGCCCACCCCGACGCGCAGCGACGAGGGCCTCGGGCTCTTCCGCTCCATCCCACCCCCACTGCACCCTCACCCTCACCCGCCAGGCGTCATGGGCCGTGACCATGCCCGGTCCCTCTCGGCCTCGGTGCACCCCCTGCGAGTGGACGTCGACGGCCGTCTGACGGGCAGCGACGACGACTTCCACGACGCTGTGTGCGCGCCAATGCTCTTGGGCAGCCACCTCCCCCCTGGGCCGAGCCGCGACGACCACCACGACCACCTTGCTAACAGTGGCGGGGACGACTACCAGACCGAGGAGCTGGACAAGATCGAGTCCACGGACTCGAGCTGGACGGCTGAAGACGCCGAGGGCCAGGAGGGGGCGCAGGAAGATCACAGGGGCAAGGAGGAACTGGACGACCTGCGAGGGGGTGACGGTCGCGGCCTGACGGGTGTGCTGCACGGGCTCGAGGGGCGGGAGGGCGGTGCAGACGACATTGGCGATGAGGTGGAGAGCGTGTCTGGGAGCGAGGAGGGTGAGGGTGAGAGTGTCCTCCACAGCCTGGAGCACCAGTTCTTCATGGCAGCCTCCTTCCTCGAGGTGGGCCGCATCACACAAAGCCTAAACCCTACACCCACACAACACAGAGAGAGATGCGTCGCGGCCCTTACCTTCTGTTTCTCTGTTACTGTAACCGGACGCGGTGCAGGCGTCAGTGTTCGGTCGTCTACACACGCCAAGGGTGATGCATCAGCCCCCCGCCCCCGACGCAGACAACGCCATGATGCAGTCGCTCATACAGACAGTGCGGCCGCTCACGGCCTCCGTCATGGGGCGACACAAGACGCCCGCGCACCCTTGCCGACGGAAAAGGCAAGATGAAGATCAGCCACAGCCACAGCCAGATGCCCAGCCCCAGGCAGCCCCTGCTGCCCCCGTCCCTCCCCCGCTCACGCACTTCGTCAGCGAAAAGCTGGTCGTCTTTGCGGCCGTGCAGTGGAGGCCAGGTGACGGCGAAGGAGAGGGCCATGGACCGGAGGTGGCCACTGTCGGTCCGGCAGACGCCCACGTGCCCCCTTTGCTCTTGCCTGACGCCTCCCACCACACCTGGCGGTCACGTATCCACCAAGGCAAAGACCAAGACCGAGATCAAGACGGCCAGTCGTCGCTGTGCGATCTCAAAGTCTCCTCGCGCGTCATCTTGTCGTCGGCCCTCGATTCGGCCGGTGCTGGTGAGAGGCGCGAGGTGTCTCGGTGTCCTTCCGTGTCTGGCAAGTCCCTCTCGTCGGCTTCGGCGACGCCGCGTCAGCCCCGGCGTGCGATGGCTGTGGTGGACGGGCGGGTCGATGTGGACATGCAACCGACGGTGCTGACTGTGTCACGATCGAGCATCGACTTGCTCAGGGATGTCGCCACGAGGCTGGCCGCTGACGTGCCTGTGCCTGTCGACAGGCCGGGGCCACAGCCAGAAGGGCGAGATGGCCACATCGGCACCGCGGAAGGCACCGTGGCGAGGCGAGAGGAATCGCCGGTGTTTGTCGGCAGGGTGGTGTGCCCGTCGCTTCGGTGTCAGCTGGGGCTGTCGGTGCGAGGAGACGAGGACGGCGGGCAGCAGCTGCTTGTCGTGGACCTCGCTGGCAGCCAACTCGAGTGGGACAGTGGGGCTGCAGACGCGCCATCCTTCCACCGACGCATCAAGGCCCAGGGAGCTCAGATGAGGGTCGCCCTCGTCTCGTCGCCATGGCATCCGCCCTTCCCCCGCACCCCCTCCCCTGCCTCCCAGTTCACGGTCGTCTCCCTCGTGCAGCGCGGCGAATCGACGGGCATGGCACCGCTCTCCGTGGAGATCTTCGTGCGCCCGTCCCTTGCGCCACCACCACAGCCCGACGAGCATGCCGCCATGCGCCAATCCACCAGTCGCCTGAGGCCGCCGAGGGGCAGGGGGGCATCTTCTCCGCGCAACACAGTGAGTGGCGGCAAGAGGCACTCGGCGCAGGACGGCCTTGGCGGCCACTGGGTGGACATAGAGTACGGCCTCTCGCCCCTGGGGCCGCCCCAGCCCCCGCTGTCAGTGCGGCCCACTCGTCTGCCGCTGCCACCCACCGCTCTGAGGCACAAAGGGCGCACCACCAGGCGGACACCTCTCGGAATCCCTTCTGGCGCGGCGCATGGACATGGCCTCACCTCGGCTGACGGCAGGCAGCAGAGCGCGGGTGCGAGAGCACCCGATGGGACATGTGCGGGAGGGGCTGGCGGCGTCAAGGATGGCGAGTCGGGTTTGGACCTGGTGCGGCATCGGGATGTGGAGGTGGTGGTGTGGCTGCCGTCGGTGGAGGCCACCATCGACGAGAGGGACACCCCTCTGCTGGTGCGGGTCATGCACCGCTTCTGCCGCGAATGGGGGGACGTGACTTCGGCCACCAGTGCGGTTCCCAGCCAGACCTCCTCCGAGACCTACCACACGGCCGTCTCCCACAGCCCAGCCACGCCCACCCCCACTCCCCCCTCCCTCGCCCGATCCCCATGCCCCACACCCGCCCCCTCATCAGCCATCGCATCGCCCCGGGACGGTCCCCACCGACCCCTAAGCCCACTGCCCCAGCCGACGATGGGCGTGCAAGTGTTGTGCGAGCAGCTGCTGCTCGACTGCGGCCGCACTGCGGACGGCGGATGTGGTCCGCTCGCTGCCTTGCGGATCAGTAAGGTGTGGGTGAGGGGCGTCCCGGGGGGGCTCGGGGCCACGGTGCAGCGGGCAGAGGTCGCCGTGCAGGGCGAGACGATCCTTAGGTGTCTCCATGGTGGGCAGGTGGGGTCTCACGGTGACGGCAGGGGCGACTCTGATGACGGTCTCATCCCTGTCAACCCGCTTTTTGCCGCTCTCGGGGCCATTCACGGCTCGCACATGGACCGAGCAGCAGACGCCAGCAGCAGCCTCGACGCGTGCGTCTTGTCGACCTGTCTCTCTTTTCCGTCCTCGACCCCCGGCGACCCCTGCCCGCCTCCCCCGCGCATCATCCTGTCGTCTGCCAATCTCTCCCTCTGCGTCTCCCCTTCGCTCTCGCACTCCCTGCCCCCACTGGTCCGCTTTGCCACGGCCATCGCGCACGGCTGCCAGCCACCACCACCACAGCTACACCCACAGACCCCCACAAGCGTCAAGGACGAGCAGGCACTACGAGGCAAGGAGAGGGAAGCCCCGAGAGGCGCCGTGGTTCGGCTGCGGCTGAGTAAGTCCCTTGTTTTGGTGCCGCGGTGGGGCAGGGACGAGCTGAGGGGCATTGTCCATCGGATGAAGAAGCAGGACGACATGGCTACACCTGCGCCGGCCACAGGCAGGTCTTGGCGGCGGCGAGACTGGTCGGTGGGGGTGTGGGTGGAGGAGGCTGGGGGAATCGCCGACTGCGGCAATGGTAGGGGGGGACCGGTGGCACATCCAGAGGTCGTCAAGGCCACCATCCGCGAGGCACACGTGTACCTCACCGACACGACAGCAGTGGTGCGGTCTTCCCTCTCGCTCCCTCCCACGGCCCCCCTCCCTCCCCTGACCCTCCCCTCTGCGCACTGCTCGCTGCCGCCCCACGCCCACCTGCAGACCTTAGGGTTCGCCCATCTAGGCAGCGTCATCGGCGCATCGAGCAGAGGCTACGTGACGCGTCTTGACGGTGACGGTGACACTGAAGGTGACGGCCGTGTGGTGATGGGTGTGGACGTGCGGGTGAGCACGGCCCATGTGCACCTCTGCACCGACACGGCCCGGTCGCTGCTGTGGGTGGTGGCCGACCTCACCGAGACATCCAAGAACGAGGCGCCTTCGTCACCCAAATCTCGCCCCATGCCACTCCCCCCCGCCTACCCCCTTGTGGATGCCACCCCGCCCCCTCACGGCGAGGCTGGTGGTGCGATTGCGTCTCACGCCCAGGTCGCAGCGAGGCCGGCCGTATCGACGCCGCAGGCGTCCCCGCTGAGCCACGCCGACAGGCACATGGTCGACCGCAACGTGTTGGAAGGGGTGGACCTTCACGCATTCGCGCCAACGACTCACCAGAAGCAGAAGCAGCCCCCGACCACTGGCAAGAAGCAGAGGCGCCCACCCCTCCTGCCCACCCCTGATGCCTGCTCCCTCCCCCAGGCAGAGCGACAAGCAGAGGCAAACCATGGCGGGTCCCCGTCAAGGCGGGCTGCTGCAGCAAGACATCAACTCGACCAGCAGCAGCAGCAGCCGAGAGGGGCTGTGAGGCGAGAGAACGACGCCGGGGGTCAGCTTAAGGCCTTGGGTATGCGGGAGTGCGTGATTGAGGACTATGTGCGGTCTGCCGAGGCGGCCAACCGGTCCATCTACTCGACGTGTGTCACATATGACGAGAGGGGCGCCGCTGGTGCAACGGAGAGGGAGAGGGAGAGGGAGAGGGTGGTCACGGGTGGGGGCGTTGGGGAGGATGAGGTGACGCTGCTGCTCCTGTCGCCCGAGCAGGCGTCCAGGGGCAGAGTGCAGGCGCTGCAAATGGAGGAAAAACAAGCCAGGCAGCAGGTGAGCTGTGAGCTGACTGCTGCAGTCCCAGGTGTATTGATGTATGTGTATGTCTGTTGGTTGATGCAATGCCTTGGGTGGGTTGTGTCTGTCGTGTGACGGATGCATGGACAATAGGTGCAAGAGGCGATAGAGGAACAGCTGCGCACCAGCTGCACCTTCACCGCCCGCCTACCCCCCGCCCACGCCCACGCCACCTTCCCCGACTTCCACAGTGTGGTGCCGTCCGCCACCTACCAGCACCAACAACCCCTCACTCCCGTCAGCGAGGCGCCCTGCCCCTCTGCTGATACCAATGGTGGCAGTGACCATGACAGTGGCGGGATCGATGCCAACGCGCGGTGGTTTGTGGACCCGGCGGACGTGCGGATTGTGGATGGACACCTCGGGGGAGAGGGCGAGGGTTTGGACGGCTTCGATGAAGCCAGTGAGCACGAGAGGCTCAAAATATGGTATGCAAGCTGGCAGTGCATTGGCGGGGGGCAAAGCGTGACACTGGTGGAGTGCAATAAATGTCATATTTGACCCTCTGTCTCTCTGTCTCTCTGTCTGTCTGTCTGTCTGTCTGTGTTGCGTAGGTACCCCCACGCGGACTGTGTGCTTCGGTGTCAGCTGACGTTCGAATGCGACGAGGTCTCGGTGGCCTTCCACGGCGGCACCGACCTGCCCCCATCACCCAAGACCGCACCCACCGATCGCACCACACCGGGGTCAGCACAACCAACCACCATCTCACAAGCATAGTTCTGCCGATCAAATGCATCATGCACCAGCACCTACCTCTCAATCTCTCCCTGTCTGTCCTTTGTCGTGCAGCCGCACAGACGAGAGTGTGTGCGTGCGTTTGGAGCACGTGCTGGGCCGGATGTTCGGCTTTGACGCCGACAGGAGGGGTGTTGGGGGGGCCGGCGGGGACGGTGAGTCGCTTTCGGCCCTCTACAGGCGGCGCTGGATGTGGAACGTCCGGGTCAGCGAATGAATGAGAAAGGACACTGAGGCGTGATGGGGTCGATGTATGTATTTGTGGCTGCCTGCATTCGTTGGTTGGTTCTTCAGGAGGTGGGCGTCCAGGACTGTGTGAGCAGTTCTGTCTTCCAGTACGTCCTCTGCTACTTGGATGACGGCGCGCACAGGCTGCCCCACGCCACCACCACCAGCCCCACCAGCCCCGGCCCCACCACAGGGCCGTCGGTGGACATGGTGTCGGTGGTGCTTGACGAGCTGGTGGTGCTGAGCAGCCACACCTCCTCTGACAGCGGCTGGTGTCCCAACGAGTACCGTGTGGACGTCCGCGTGATGCCTCTGCGCGTCACCATCGACCAGGACACCCTCGAGTTCATCGCCGCCTTCCTCGAGCACGTCAGGATGCCAGAAATCGTCGAGAAGAGGGCGTCTGCGGGCCAGGAGTCCAGGCCCGATGACGGCGACGAGCAGAGACCCAGCAGGACAGCCTCTGAGGAGTTGGGGAGTGGGGGCGGGTCGTCGCCTACCAGCGCTGCGGCTGCTGGTGCTGGTGCTTCTGTGCTGTCGTCCCCCCTGCCAGTATTCATCCAGCACTTTTTCATGGATGCACTCCTCATCTCTGTCGACTACCGGTGAGCTGAGCACATGGCCGTCCGTACCACTCTGTGTGGAGAGATAGATGTCCATGTCTGTGTGTTTGTTGGTGTGCACATCCTCAGGTCCAAGCGTGTGAGTCTGTCTGCGCTGCGTCGGGGAGAGTGGTACGAGTTGCTGAATGTGCTGCCCCTGCTGGAGGGGCTGGAGGTCGCCTTCGGCCGTGTCACGCTGAGGGGCATCTCGGGGCTCACGCACCTCGGCGACCAGCTGGCCATGCACTGGATGAAAGACATTGACAGGTGCACACAGTAAAAAAACAGCACAGACACAACCGACCCAGCCTTTCAATCCCTTATGCTCCCTGTCTGTCTGTCTGCATGTCGTCAGGTCTCAGGTGCTCCGTTGTCTGTCCGGCATAACGCCCATCCGTTCGCTCGTCAACATCGGGGGCGGCATCGCCGATCTTTTCCGCACACCCATACAGCACATGCTCGACACGCAACAGGCGCCACCGCAACAAGTCGGTCCCATCGCAGCCACGGTGCACGGCGAGGGCCCCGGGATGGGCGACGCGCGCTTCTCGCGCAACTTGCTCAGGGGCGCCACGGCTTTTCTCAAACACATCACAGTCGAGACCATGTACGCCACACAGACAAACAGACAGACAGACAGACAGACAGAGACTGCGCGTGCCGTCTTATGTATGTTTGTGTGTTTGTTTGTTTGGCACCCACCCACTGCCCTCCCTCAGCAATTTGACGGAGAAGGTTGTGGTGGGGACGCAGTACGTGCTGGAGACGGTCGACAGGCAGGTGGCTCTCCCCAATGTCCCCGCGTACCCCTCATCCCGGTTCCGACTCCCGACGGACGCAGTCGACCCTCGCGCGCTACCTGACGCCACACAACACACGCCCGGTAAGCGAAGCGGGACACCCACAGTATGACCGACAAAGCGCGCCAATGGCTTGTCGATGAATGGATGGAAATGTGTGATGGTGTCGCCTGCAGAGGATGGTGACCGTTCCCCCGAGGATGAAGGCGTGTCCCCTCTTGCTCACCCAGCCCCTCCTTCTGCCGCCCCTCAAGTGGAGCCAGCTGAGAGTGAGCAGCAGGAGGTGTGTGGCGGGTCGGAGGGTTGGCGGTCGTCTTCGATGAACTGGACGGCGGTGGACATCGGTGCGGGGGGCGCCTTCTACCAACCCACAACCATGAGGGAGGGACTGGTGGAACACGCATGGCAAAACATCGCCAGAGGGGTCAGACACACACACATCGACATGCAGACAGACACTCTTCTGTTGTGTTCTGTTCTGGTGTGATGGGTCAGGTTCGCTCTGCCGCCGACGTGGCCGTCACTGTGCCTTTATTGGAACTGCACAGGTGCGCATGCAAATTCATTTCAACACGCCGGCAGTATGTATGTATTATCGACGATCATATTGTGAGATGTCTGCTTGCAGGAGCGGTCCGAGCGTCGAGGCGATGGAGGGGCTGGTGCGGGGCATCCCGCTGTGCATCCTCCGGCCCGTCATCGGGGCGACAGAGGCAATCGCATCCACACTGCAGGCAAGTCAACACTCAACACGTGCACACACATGTGTGTGACACACGACACATGCTCTAATAACGACGCGTCTTATCGGTGGCTTTGTGCGTGTGTATGTCAGGGTGTGCGCAACGAGCTGGATCCGCGTATACGGCGTGACAGGATGCGCAAGTACAAGGGCCCCTCTCTGAAGGAGCCGCCCAGATGATTCAGTTGATGGACGAATGGCGGTCCTGATATCCATGTCGTGGTGCGTGCGGTGCGTGTCTGCATGGGTGCCTGGTAGATGGGCCAGTCAGTGGTGGGGCGCAGGGAAGTTTCGCAGCGAGGTACGTGCACGTTCTTTTTTCAGATGATGCCTTTGTTCACATCCATCCATGTGCCGTCGTCAAGTCATGTTTTGGTGCACGCGAGTTTGGGTCGTGGGTCTTCGTGTGTGGGTGGTTGTTGCGTTGTGTTGTGTTGTGTCGTGTCGATCCATGTAGCGGTTTTCATTGGCCGTCGTGTGTGTGTGTGTGTGTGGTCGTGGCGTTGGGAGCTTGGGGCATTAATGTGGTTGGGCTGGCAGGTGCGTGCCTGCACTGTACCATATAGCCATACTATGATGTAGCCTGGGATGCACGCAGCCACTGTGTGCCCGTGTGCTGTGCATGTGTATGCTATGCTATTCTCTCTGCCTTTTGCAAATCGAGCCAGCTCTCTCCACCGACCCCACCCACTCTACCCATCCCACTCTACCCAGCGAGGCAGCCATCCTACTCACTCACTCCTCGCTTGCGATCCTTTCTGTTATCACCCGATATCCCCTGGCTGACCGGCGGATCACATCACCGCATTGCATTCAGGCACTCTGAAGGAAGCCATCCTCTAATCTATTTTGTATGTGTATCCATCACATCAGTGAGTGTCTCAGCTGCTGTATTGTATAGATAGCATCCCCCACATCCCACACCACTCCACCCCTTCCCCCGGTTTACTCCATTCCCCCCCGTCTCTCTCTCGGTCTATCTGTCTCTCTGTTTGTCTGTCCGTCTGTTTCATGATGTATCCAATGGGGTCGAGCCACTCGCTCTCCCAACGCACTTTCTGTGTGCCGTGCGGTGCTGCCTCAGGCAGCGCAGCGCAATGCAAGGCACTCGCCACATGCACTTTGGGCACACTATAGTGGTCGATCGCACATATCCCCCTCAGAGCTTTGCTTTCTTCTCCCTTTCTCTCCTTTTTCTGCTCATTTCTGCATGTGTGCATGACGGCGTCAAACCTGTGCATGTGTGTGTGCGCTTTTACGAGATCCTTCCCTTCGCTCGAAGACGTACGAATGTATGCCTCTTCAGTGAATCCCTTCCTGTTGTGCCCTCTCAACGCACGCTGGGACAACCCATGGAGAACCGCAGAGATGGCGCGATTTATTTCATGAACACATAAAGTGATCGCCCCCCCTCAGCTGCCGACCAGTCTACTCACAGGCAAGCATGGACAAACCAATGTCTGTATAACAAAGGCATTTGTCTGTACATACACTACACTACACATCCACCTGCACCAACTGCAACGCAGACGACAGAAAAACAGACATATGAGGGGCGTGCAGCGGCCTCTTTTGCATCGTCCTGGCTGCCCTCACCGTGTGGTGTCATCTGTTTGTCTGTCCTCTACGGCGCCTCTCCGTCGAGGAAGACCGGTGCGACAGGGCCCAACGACCGCCGAGCCAGGGCTGCCGTGTGTCGATGCCTGGCGGGGAATGGATCGCCCGGGCTGCGCACTGGCTGCTCAGTCGTCACCAGGAAGACATCCACTGCCATATGAGAAACGGGACAGACGATGAGACTGTCCGCCTGTCTGTCTGTCTGCCTGTCTGCCTGCCTGCACTCGTGTCTCTCACTCACCTTTCTGACGGTCCTAAGGTCTGACTCCGAATTGGACCCACGCTGTGAAGGGGTCGTCGAATGCCGTCAGCATATGATCCTGATGTACATGTCCATCGTCATCCTCGAACGCCACGACAGCTGAGCATCCGTCCAGTGGTGTGTGGGGCGACTGCGTCAGCACGCCGTCCAAATAGCCGCCCCTCACGCTACTACACAGATGCACACACAGACAGACAGCGATCCACTCTAGGTCTCATGTATGCCCCGGGAATACCTACCGATCGATGTCCATGTGCATGATGTGGATCGGTAGGACACCGATCTTATGGTGATGGAGGAGGATCATGGCCACGATGAAGGCGCTCATCGACGCTGCGATGTCGCCAATCACGCCTGCCGCGCCTGCCGTCCAGCCGTCCTCGGCTTCTTCGTCGAAGTAGATGGCCGACTGGACGGGCGGGTCATCTGGGTTCATGTGCTGCTGGAAGGGGTGCTGCTGCAGGGGGTGCACGGCAGTGGTGGGCAGGGGCGGGTTGAGGGTGATGGCGAACTCAGGCTCGTCGCGGAATGCGCGGATCTCGTTGGTGGCGGGGTCGCGGAAGAGCTCGAAGGTGCCGTCCTGCTGGCCATTGGCACAACGGAAGGCCACATGCCGACTGACGACCATCCACTGGGCTGTCACACGGGGCATCGACAAATAGGCCTGACACACAGGAACACACGACGATGGATGCACCGCACCTTATTCTCCCCCTGCTGTGTGAGGTGAGATGCTCCCTTACCGTCTTGGTGTCGTGCTTCTGCAGGTCGACAGCGTTGATGGTGATGGGCAGTTGGCAGTAGCTGCACTGACCCGCCAGCCTCAGTCCATTGCCCACCTCTCCCCACTTGCCGCCCTCTTCCATCAGCCACAGCGCCTTCATCACGCCGCCGCCGCCCAGCTGAGGCGCAAACCGCACCACGCCCGTCAGACCCGCCTTGTCCACGGCGACGGTCAGTCGGCGACGAAGGGCCATCTTGAGGTCATCGTTGACGAGTCGTGCCGTCATCTTGAGGCGGCCGACAGACTGCAGGTCGAGGGGATTCTGCAGGCTGCCCACGGCGTCGGCCGAGAGGTCATCTAACTTGGCCTGACCATAACAGACAGAACAGCGCATCCGCTCGGAATTGTATCGGTTGGTATGCTCACTGACCGATGCATCAGTGCGTGGCTGAGGGAAGGTGGCCGCCTTGACGAGGGCCTTGAGCGAGGCCCTCAACTTGGCGTACTGATGCAACGCAGCTATCATGTGGAGCGAGCAATCCTGCAGCCATGCATTAATGACACACACATCCATACAAACAGACAGACAGACGTCGTTAACGCCACCAGTGGCGTGCGAATTCTCTTCTCATTCTCCCAATGTCAGGGCAGTAAGTGCTCTCCTCTGGAGGACATACGTGCGATGAGAGATCTACTGCGTCCAGTGCGGACAAGCGGTACATCAGGCAGCTGATCTGCAAGGAGCGCACACACACTGAGGAAGGCATGGTTTGTCAATGCGTCAGTCCCATGGCTGCCTACCTCCGAGTGTTCCTGCTCCAGACCAGACATGCTGATGGCCGTCTGCGGCAAATCCATGGGTAGTTGCTGCGCCACCCTTTCGGGTCAGCTGAAACGTTTCTGAGTTGATCTTTTTGAGTTTTTGTTTTGAATTCGGACCTCAAAGATGCCGCCGTTCGTCACCGTGATGACCTTTTCGCTGTGCATCCTGACGGTGAATGGTGAAGATTCGCCGTCATTTCGTGGGCTGTCGTGGCGAGGTGGACTACAGCAGCAAGGGGCTCAACTGGTCCGAGGGTGAATGTGGAAGCGACGTGGTGAGAACACACACCCGAAGGTCGGATGGATCGATGGATGGATGGATGGAACGATGGGTGGATTTTCATGTTTGTGTGGGGTGCGTTTTTTGTGCAGCGTACGTTCGGACGGATGCAGTTCAGTTGAGGGGAGGGGGCGTCACGTGGGCGTACGGCACCGCTGCCGGCTATGAGGGAGGGGCTGCATCCTGATGAAGCGAGTGATCCCTCCCCAAGGACAGGCACAAGCGGCGATGTGTTGAAGCCACTGCACAGATCCCTCGCTCATTGGCGCTCAGCCTGATGCCTGCTGCCTCTCTGTCCCGCTGTGCAACGATCTGTCCCTTGCCCACCACCACCACCACCACGACTCATCGAGATCTGCCTTCATCCTCAATGCATCGCCGCTGTGGCAGCGGCTGGGGAGGAGCTCGAGAGGCAGCGGCGGTGGACACCCTGCCGCCTACAAGTGCCGGAATTGCCACGGAAGCAGCGAGAAAAAAAGTGACGAACAGCATGGCGGCCGATGGGTGTCTGTGTGGCTGTGTGCAGGGCGTCCACTTTGACGGAGCTGAAGCGGATGGCGGCGTCTGCTCAGGCGAGCAAGCTGGCAGGCAAGTTGAACCCCACCACAGGCCAGGCGACGCACGGGTCCTGTTTGCACGAGCACACGTGTGTGTGTGTGTCGATATTGTGTGTGTTGCCTTAGGGGCACTTTCTGAATGAGATATGGGACCCCTATAAATACTTACTTCATCACACAGGGGCCTGAGGACATCCGTACGCCACCCAACACACATACACGACACATGCAACCGCATTCCGTTGTGTGCATGCCCTTGTGTGCCTGTCTGCAGCCACGCCAGAAGAGCTGGCTCTCGAGAACCGCATCGGGGAGCCCCTTAACGACGTGAGAGCTGCTGTCGACAGACCGCCTCACCTTTCGGTTGCGTGTGTGATCACGTGCCGTGTGCATGCTTGTCATGCAGGCGGTGAGTGCATCCAACTATGGCTTCTGGAGGTATCAGCCCGGACACGCCAGAGAGACAAGGTACGCATGTGTGTGGATGTGCCAAAATGTGTATGGTATGGTTGTGTGCAGTGGTCGTCGGCCGCTGGACCATGAGATTGACAATGTGGACAGCAAGATGGTGAGGTGAGGCTGCTGCTGGACCTGGGGGCTGACCTCAACTACAACACCAACAAGGTACACACACACACAGATCCCAGCCGTCCACAAGGACGTATTGATCTCTCAGCCATATGTCTGTCAGGATGAGGGCACCTCCCCGCTGTACCGCAGCATCTCCAAGGGCTCCCAGGCCATCTTCGACCTACTCATGGACAGCGGAGCCGACCCCACACGCACCGACGTAACCACCCCGCCACACACATACACGTTGCTCAAGCGCGGCGTCAAATGAGTCGTTTTGTGTGCGCCTGGTGTGCAGGATGGTGGTAGGGACGCCCTGACGTATGCCGCCGTCTTTAGCGAGCTCGCCATGCTGAAACGGCTGATGAGCTACAACGAAGCTATCGTCAGGAAGGACACCGACGAGAGCGCCAGCACCAGCTCCAGCACCACCGAAGAACCGACAGGCGAGTTCAGGGCCACTCTCAGCGTCAACCGCCGAGACAAAGTACGCGGCACACGACACACCAGTACTGTGTGCGGCCCGACGCCAAGGAGGACTACAGCAGCAGCGTATTATTCGACTTCCCCTTCACCCTCCTGTGGCCCACCAACCCAGGCAGCCCCATACGCAACATCTACGACAGCGAGACGCCGGCATCCGAATCGTCCACCCTCAGTCACCCTGGCGGCCTCGCTCGCCACATCGGTGAGCTTCCCCACCAGCATCGCACAAGACAACATCATCCGGGCTTTCTCACGTTAAAACAAGCTCGTCTTCAGCTCAGCCCGCATCCTGACCCTGCAGCCGGCCAGGGACACCGACAACCCCCTCCCACAGCCACTGCTCTTCAACCTCGGCCGCGTCTTCCCATCGGTGCGGTCCATGGACATGGGCAAGGCGCAGCAGCTGGGCGAGGAGGCCGTCGTCAAGACGGTAGACGACCTCCCATCGCTGCGGGCGGTGCGGTTCGC